CTCAAACACTGCAAAGTACGATTATAAAAATTGCGAAGATTCGGCCTTTATTAAAATCTCCGAAAATTGCAACATTTTGAAAATTTTTCGTGAGCGCTCACGCTTTCAGGATTACTTTTTCGCACTTACTAACGTAAGAAGAGAAAGTATTGTAATCGTGCGCCGGAAACCAGTGAATTTTCGACACAACTCTCATTTCCGGGCCCTGGTAAGGAAAAAATGGATAAATCCAGTTGCTAAGTATAGAAAAAAAGTCCTCTAACACGTGGTGTAGCCAGAATCCATGTTTTGTAACTCATTCATACCGAAAAATCGATTGACGGCAAAACGTCTGGTTGTCCGTCCGTTCGTCTGTGCAGAACGTTAGCGCATAAACCGTTCGGCCGATTTTCTCAAAAACAGATATTCCTCAATTGTTCTGGCTGATGTCACGGACCCTGGAATTTGAAACCGAAATTTTAATTTTGGGGGTACTTTGCATGAATCTCCTGAGACATTTTCAAAATTTTCAAAAAGATGGCTCCAATTTTTTTGATTAAATTTTGTTGTTGAATACTGCATAGGACAATTAAGAGAAAGGAGCAGGTTTCATTTTTATTGACATCTACGATTTTCAAAAATTGGGAAAAAAATTTAAACTTCAAAATTGGAGATAGAGATTTTTGTCACAAAGTCTGTTGTAGAAAATTAGCTCTTCAAAAAAGGTCATGTACAATTTTTTGTAAGAACGAGTAGTTTTTGTTTATTTGTGATTGAAATTTACTGAGAGAAAAATTGAATGATTGATGTGAAAATAATTAATTTAATTATAATTATAATTTCCTATTGAAAATGCCAATATTAATTATATTTTTCCTTTCTCGCTTTTTTTTACTTTATTCTCAATGTGTATTCTCAATTTATTGATGTATTTCTTTTTAAGCAGTCCGCAAAGCTTAATAGAAATATCGCAATAATGCCGCATCGATTGAGAAGCGCTTGAGAAGCACTTGAGTAGAACTTGTTTTGTTTACAGCATCTCTCTTCCGAGAAACCATGGCGCTCTCTTCGTTGAAAAGCAATAGTGTTAATTATATCTGAAGTGTGGATGTTAGAAGTCTGTGATAAAATTAAACGATACTGAAACTGTTACCTTACGATGAAAGCCATCTCACGAATTTTCGAAATTAATTTGATACCAATTGCATATATTCTAATTACTGTATTGATATTGTTAGCTAAGCGAATGCACATAAGTTTTGATAACGCTGCGCTGGCAACAGTTCGCTGTTCACTTCTTGGTTGAATTGGACGTTTTGAAATAATGGCTGAGGTGTTAGTAGCGCAATGCAATATTTCAGTATTACTTAGCTGTTTCAAATAACGCGAGAAAGTATGTGTTGGAGCACTACTAGTTTTAAATTTTTTTATTATTTTTTTCTTTGTTTTGACAGTTAAATGTTAATTATAAATTAATGCACACGGCCTCTCTCAAATTAAATGTTTTCAAAAGATGCTATGTTGTTGTCGATGTCGCATCCGTAGTAAGAAAGTGAACACGAAGGACGCCATAAAATGCAATTTAGCAATTATATCTCAGATTCACGACCACTTTGCACGTGATTTCACATTTTGCGATCGGTTTCGCGTTTTATCTCAGATTGAAAACCTCCAGAAATACACAGCACCGACCGACCGTGAACACAATTACTGTGTTTTTCAGCGTTTCATTTCGCGTTAACATTTCGCGTTCTTGGCAAGTGCAAAACTCTACCGTCTCTACCGGATCAGTAGAGAACGGATTACATGCATGTTGCATATGCATGCATATTTTTTTAGATAATTGAAAATTTTTAAGAATCTGGCGTATATCAGCATATTATTACTGTTTGAAGAAATCCGACTTACAAATTTCAGGGGAGATTTCTTAGTAAGTTGTTTTCGTTTATTCCATTGTTAGGGACACCAATAATATCTTCCAGAAATGACAACAGAAAATTCCGACTATTCAATACTTGCAACAAGGACAATGTACCGGTTCAAGTAGGTTGCAACAACAAGAAGGTTCTTTCAGGGGAAATTGTTGGTCTACATATGGCACCTTCTTTAATAGCACAATTTAAAAATTACCCAGTAACATTGGTAGATGTTGAAAGAACATTTTCATATGAGAAGTAATTATCTGGCTGACAATTTTCAAAAACATGTTGCTTTGCAAATTGTTAAGGTGTCTGGTGAAGACATTAATAGGTAACCATTGGTTAAAAGTTGTATTTAATAATTAATGTACTTCATGGCAAAATTATTAATATGGTTGTTTTCATTCATATTTTCAGAAGTTTTATTTCCTGCATATTTGCATATAATTTTTGGATAAATCTCAACTTGCCATGCACATTTTAGAAGAAAATACTGAATTTATATGCGCATATTTTTTTAGAAAACGCTTGCGTATAATCCGGTCTCTACTGATGAGACAAGCTTGGGGCATGGAGACCCATGCTGCAGAGCGCTTCTCGCGAATTCCCCGGATTTCAACAAAAAATCAACCTGTACCAATCTCATTAGCGTTCTTTACGCTCTCGGAAGTCAAAATCTAATATAAAAATGCTGCTCCATTTATTTGAAAATTTTTAAAATGAACCATGTGTTTCATGTAAAGTATCTTCCAAAATTAAAATATTTTTTTAAGTTCAAAGGTCCGTGACATCAGCCAAATCGACTGTGGAATATCGACTTTGACGAAACTCCTGCATATGGTTTAGTCACTAGCGTTGTTCATAGACGGGCAGACATGCTTTGTCATCAATTGATTTTTCGGTATCAAGGCCCCTGAAAATATAGATTTGGATTACACGATGTGTTGGAAGAAGTAAATTACTATGTATATGGACAGGATTTATCCACGTTTTCGTTACCAGGGTCCGGTAATAAGATTTTTTCTGTCGAAAATTCTTATTGCCGGTGACGGCGATAGTGTAACGATTAGCGTATCGGACTGTTAAACCCAAGTTGGCGGGTTTAAACCCGATCGAAGCCCTGGATTTTTAAGGGCGAGAAAATCCTTCGTACGCCTTCCTTCGGAGGGGAAATAAAGCCGGCTGTCCCATGTTAGTAGATTTACTGCATGTAAAAGATCCTCAAGCCTAAAGGAAGCCTCTGAGTTAAATTCAAATCACCGTTTCGTTGCCCAAGAAATACCTTCTTTCTCCGCTAGTTGGTGAAGAGGCGAAAGTTCCGTGGTCAGACGGAAGAGCGGACCTGAGGGCCTGAATCTCTCCTCGTGAAATAAGGCATCAATTCAAAATTCGCTGACATTTTCCTCGCGGCATTATAATATTTTCTCTAAAACTGCAGAAAGCGAGAAAGTAAAAAGGAATAAACCATTCAAAGATTTTACGTCTCCTCCGTTTTTGGCGAAAGAGCTAGTTATTAAAAAATTACTGTCTGCACTGCTATTTGGCGCCTAGATGCACACATTGCAGAACGCATCCCGCGAATTCTCCGGCAGCCGGGCTCAGGTGCGCGGCCTTATCTCGGGCGCGTGGGCGTGGAGAGGAGCGGCAGGAGTTCGGACCCTGACCCGCGTTGCCGCAGCGTTGCATCAGACGCCTCCGCGGTCGCTGCTGCTACCGCGCGGGGCCACATATAGCAGCCCGCGGACGCCCGCCGACGCACAGCGAGTCGCGAGCAGGAGCGGGACGGCGGAACAGGCACTGGCAGCGCCGCGACCCGGAGCAAGCGGAGGAAGGATTCGGTTCTCATAGCTTGGGTAAGAAGACGCTGAATTATGCGCGCACGGTTTCTTGAGTCCCGGAATACTTACACCCTCTTTTAGGCAGAGGCGTATGTATACCGAAAAAAAGAACCGTTGGAAGAATTTGTTACAGTATCTTGGATCTGGAATACTGCAAGGGTTCTTTTTTTTTCGGTGTATTCAGGCGCCCCTGACAAGCTTAGAATTTGCGGAACCTGTCAGGTTACTTTAAACAAGAGTAATTTGGTTTACGGGGTGTACTCTAAATAGCGCCCCTTGCGAGTGGCGCCCATGGCACGTGCCGTGTCTGCCATACCGTAGATACGCCTCAGCCTTTAGAGGTCGTCCATAAATTACGTAACGCTAAAAAGGGGGTTGAGGCACCGTAACGCTGCGTTACATAGGGGAAGGGTGGGTCATTGTTTTGTGTTATGTATTGCTGAGATTTCTTTTTAAAAATTTTCAAATTGGCTGAAATTCTCTTTATTTACTATTATACTAAAACATTAACATATTAACAATACCATTTCATAATGTAATAACTTAAATAAGTAATGATGTATAAACTGTTACAATAAATGTAAACATTTTTCATCCATGATGTATTGATTGAATCTGTTGCATTACGAAGAAAATATTCAAAACTGATCTATAGTATATTTGAGAATGCAATTAAATTAGTTAAGTTAACAAGGAACCCATACGTTTTCCTCGACGGCGTGTGCGTTGTCGGCAATGTTCTCACCTACGTGCCTTCGTTCAAAAATTCTCCTCATTCTTATTGTTATGTACAATCAGCATCACAAACTATATCTGACTTTAACTAGCGTACCTTTGAATAATTAACGCAAATTAATACAACGCGTTTATTTCTGCCATACAATTTGTTTTTTACGTATGGTAATTGTAGAGGGGTTTTATTGCAACCATTGCGTAATTATTAGAGAGTGGTTCAAGCGCGCGTTGCAGGTTCGTTACAGGAGGAGAGAGGGGGTATTCAAAATACTCCAAATTTGCGTTACGTAATTTATGGAGAGCCCCTAACATTACTAGAATAATTTATGGACGGCCAATACTAGCATTAGTTGAATTGTGAGTAAATGATTGCGACGAGCGTTGTTGACAAAAGCTAATGACCAGAAATGTTCTCTACCTTGTAATAGAAACTATTTAACATCGAAAAATGAGCTACAGAATTGTTAGAATTGTCGTCGAAGTATCCCCCCCCCCACACACACACACACACTCCTCTCACTTCTGGCAAATGAAAACAAAAAAATGTCCAGATATAACAGGTAGCTTAGTAAGGAGTAGTGTCAACACAAATATCCTGCATTTTTGTAATGATACTAACTGAACCGTAACACAAATACTTATAATATGATCATGGTTAAGAACGCCCATAAAATATTTAATTTGGAACAGAAAAAGTTTCATTTACACTGCGGTATGGGTCTATACTTTTAAAATCTAAAATTAAACTTTCTATATATAGTGACGTGACCAGGACTTTTTGTGGGAAGAGTGAGGGAACTTTAGGAACAGTTTCCAGCCAGCATGATGTTTTGTTATAAAGAGTTTATCATTTTTGATTAAGTTAAATTTATATTTTTATTTGTTCATTTATACTTATTACGTATACTCATGTTTATACTTACGTATGTTTATACTTAATGTATTAAATTGAGATATTAAATTACTATTGTTACTACAAAAAATTCGTAAACCTATATTTGAGATTATGAGTCATCGACTCTGGAGGGCTGAAACCCTATTGCCTCTCAAACACACATCCCTTTCGTTACGTCACTGAACATCTTCATGCGCGATTTTTTTAAATTTAAAATTATTTATTTGTGGCGTCTATGGTGTATTTTTTTATTCGTTTAATTACGTCTTGCACAAAAATTGAAAGCATGTACAAAAATTGCAATGCACAAAAAAGGTTGGCTCAAACTAGATTAATGTAATACAAAAAGATGTACTGCGCCGATATCGAGTATTTTTATAAGAAATATTAGTAAAATTAATTATTACAAATATTTTTGTTTTTATTGGTTGAAGGGTCGAAAAATGCGTTTTATTTAAAGGGATTTCTAAGAAAATTAAGGCCTGAGAGCAATGGTAAGGCACAGAGAAAGATAGTTTTTAAAAAATTGGGTGATAAAAAAATCGGGTGATAAAAAATTGGGCGATAAAAAAATTGGGTGATAAAAAATCGGGTTATAAAAAATTGGGCGATCAAAAATTGAATTCATCATTCATTATGATTAATGCTGGTGGTGTGCTTTTTCCTACAGCAAAAATTTGTAGCTGCCCTCACTCTTATGCGCGTTCTCCCGACACTCCTTGCATCAAAGAGGTCCTACCCGGAAAAAATGAAAGAGCAGTCTTTTTAGGAGCATCTGTTATCCACCTGCTTCTGTATTCCTTTACATGTCAACTTTGTAACTAGGATGCTTGGTGGGCTATCCACAAAGGAAAGAGCCAAATTGAATATGAAATTCCTTCCTTCCAGGAGTAGCGATGTCCGCAGAGGAAGAGGCGAGCGCACCGGCGGCGGGGCCCGCCCCCGAGTCCGCCCCCGCCGCCAGGGCCCCGACCGCGGGGGCGGAGGCGGAGGCGGCGGCGGCGGCCGAGGCGGTGCCTCACCTGCGCCGCCTGTCACTGCCCGGGGACTTCCCCTCGGGCGCCGTGCGCCACTACCACGTGCACGAGCACCACTACCACGTGTGGAGCGAGCACGCGTGCTGCGGCGGCGCCCAGGCCGGCCCGGCCTGGCCCGCGCCCTGGCAGATGTGGCAGCCGCGGCAGGCGCGGCGCGGCAAACGAGCGCGTAAGTAGGGCCACGCCCCCCATCAATGCGCTGCCTCTGACACAGAGGTCCTCGGGTTCGAGTCCCGACGGTGGAGGACTTTCATACACGAGGTCGAATTCAGTCGCTGTGAGGAGGAAAAGTCTAGCGGCCGGCTGCTCCGGTCCGTAGTTTTCAGTGTTTTTTTCGATCAACACCTGGCGAATACCTCACAAACGGGCCACGGACCGCCCGCGATCTTTCCTTCCTCTTCCTATCCCCTCCCCTTATTCACACTTACATGCACTAAACTTCTACACACGCCGGGATACTAGAGTTTGCTGCGGTGCCGCGATGGGGGAGATACCTGGAGAGTAAACCTCCCGCAAGTCGACGTGTTGGTCGGCCCCTGATCTCAACACCCAGTGGGAGGAGGAACTCGGCCTACAGGATAAAACATTTGTGCACTAACGCAGGGTTGTCCAACTCGCGACTCGCGGTGCTATTTATTGTGGCCCGCGAAAGGTTATTAGTCAAAAGTGACCCTTGCATCCATGTCGGGCGACAATATTTCGCACCTAGCGCACGAGCCCTGTCGGCATCAACACCCCTCAGTGTAAGAATAGGTGAAGTTTAGTTTTAAGATTGGTTTCAAGTAAATTCATTAATTCAAAATCATCCCAAAGTGTTTCTATACGTTAAGCGTGAAATCACACATGGTTCATCCACCCCTCATTTGAGCAGCCGGGCCAGTTGCAAAGATCAACAATACGGGAAGTCAGGTGTGGATTGCCTGAGTACTGTCAATTGTAAAGAATTGTCAGTAAATTGACACGAAACCCGATTAAAGGTTTTAGTTGTGGCCTTTGAGGTTTTGCAAATTGGACACCCCTGCACTCAAAATACTAATTACCACAGCTAGGGAATGTCAATGAGTGATTCAATCTTAAGAAAGCGAAGGCGTTCCATTGGCAGGTGTTTCACAGCTTTCGTGTCCGCAGCGTGCTGCTCGCACTCGGGGGCGTGGGCGCCGCCGTGGGTGTTCGACGTGGCGCCGTGGGGCAAGGGCGCCGGCCGCTTCTCGCTGGCCGGAGGGCTGTTCTTCCTGGTGGCCATGGCGGTGTGCCGCGGGGTGGTCTGGCTGGTGCGCGTCCACCGGCCGCAGCCCATGCTGGAATGAGTCCACTCGCACACGGCGTCGGCGTCCGCGCGCGCGCCTTCACGCAAAGCCGTCCTGAAGCGCTCGACCCCTTCGCAACGCAGCCACCGATCAGCGCCACTCACCGTGGGAAAGGAAGGATTCGTCAGACACCGCTGTGGACGCAGACTGTTGCATAGCAGTCAACCTAGTATGCTCAGTGGCGTATTCGTGTGGCCTAATGTGAAGGCTGCCATTTAGAATTGTCCTCCTGGAGGTGGAGCGGAAGCGCGTGTGCGCTGCTGGAGGCGAGAGTGCGCCACTAAACCCTACAACAACGACGCCCGTCAGATATTTCCATTTAAATCAATGTTTTTCCAGCAGATGCCCTACTAAGAAGCGCTTCTGGATGTGTCAATGTGAAGGGGCCCTAAACTCAATGGCGCTTCCGGGTGGTCTAATTGAGAAGGCTGCTCTGAGTTCTGCTGGCGGTGAATCGGAAGCGCGTTTGTGCCGCTGGAGGCGGTAGTTCGTCACTATCCGCCACAGCAGCGCCACTGCGCTACTCGTGCGAATACCTCCATTTAAACCATTGCTTCGCCAGCAGCGGGTACGGCATTTCGAAATCACTGCTGGGTGACTCTCGCGTTTGCAGTGACCCTCGGAACGGCCTTGCCTTGCCCTTGTACGACACGTGTGACTATGTGCTTGAGACTTGCGGGACGCCGTAGTATTTTCGTGCAATTCCTGTGCTTAGGCGTCAAGTCTTCCATTAAGTGCTGTGATTGATGGCTTTGAAACAAGTGAGTAAGGTTGACACTACTTGACAAAGTACAAATGATTGAAATACTGGGAGGGTCCGTGAAGTAGATTTTCCAAGTGGCAGAGTATGTCGCTCGTTGTTCTGCTGAGTCAGAGTTTTTGAAGAAATCACTTTGTGCAAAAAAGAGTACATCTATATTCGGGGCATGCATGTACGATACGTCCATATTTGTACATAATAGTATAGTTACGAATAAATAAACTTGAACGCATAAAGAAAGAGGAAAAGATCTTCCTTAAAATCTGCAGGTTAAACGTAATAATCCCGAAGTTGGCAATGCGTGAAATCGTCCGTTATATAACGTAACGCAAGTTGGAGTATTTTGCGTAACCTTTCCTCCTCCTGTAACGCATCTGAAACGGGCGCCTGACCCCCCCCCCCGCCCCCTATATAATTTCGTAATGCTTGCGACACACCTCCCACCATTTACGAGAAGTGAAATTTATTTGTAAATTATAAAAATAATTTGTATGAATTTGATTTATGTTACCTATTAAAATGTATGCTAATTATAGTCGGAATTAGTTGCTGATGGCCACCGCACCTAACAATAAAATTCAGGGGCAATTTGTAAGTGAAGAAAGGACGCAGAGACTTGAAAGTTTATCACAAGTTGTGCACACGCCGTCATGGCGTCGTAATATAATTGGCTAGTCTACTGCACCAATTCAATTGAATTGTAGAATACACTATAGATCAGTTGTGAATATCTTCTTTGTAATCTTACAGATTTAATAAAATAATGATGAAAAAATATTTCCATTTATTGTAAAAATGTATACATAATAACTTTAATTTATTTATATTTTTAAAACAAATTAATTATATATTATTTTAGTGTAAGTCAGAAAAACAGAACCATTTCAGGAAATGTTGAAAAAAAAATTCATTATTACATAATTCTAAACCAAAACTCCCTGCCCCTATGCAATGCAGTGTCATACTGCCTCAAACCCCTCTCCCTCTAGAGTTACGTAATTTTTTGACAACCTCTAATGCGATTAACATGTGGTTCTTAAGTATGTATTTCTGATTAGCTTGAAGTGTGTAAATTTTGAAGGAAAATGCTTCCCACCTTGTAAATTCAAGTTACAATGACAGAAGCATTCTATGATGGACTGAGCAAAATATAAGTCAAGAGCCCCTTTGCCCATTGTTGTGTTCTGGCCCATTTGACTTTAAAAGCCTTTTCTTCCCTTTCAAAATACACAGAATCCATGCTTGTGTTTGGTAAAAGAACTTGTGAGCCTGAACCTCATGAGAATAATCTTGTTAAATGATCCTTGATAAACAAATACTATAATGTACGATAAAACAATGACACTATTTCAATTGTAAAACTTTGTAAGATACAAAAATTATTAGGAACAAAATGTTTGAAAAATAGTGCTTTATTGCCAAGGTGTACTACCCTTTTCATAATTAAATTTAATGAGTTTAAATTAATCTAATAACTTTGTAGATATCAATAAATAATGCATTGGGCTAATAAAACTTAGTTATGGTTATTCATTTTTCCAAACATAAGTAATATTTATACCATATGTTAAACATATAAAAGGTTTATAAAGTAGTTCTTTTTTTTAAAAAAATAATAAGCAAGTATAGCTCTTCTTCCTGATTCTCAGAGAAAATCTTTTTCTTATTTAGTTAACAGTAAATTCAAAATTATAAAAAAATCATTCACTTCAATTCCATGAACAATGTAAATTTGAAGAGACCAGAATATATCAAAGATATACTTCCTCGTTCCCTTTAATTCAAAATTTCTTTTGCATAACAATTTAGCTTAGTTTTTGGGATGATAAAACAATTTTTCAGTGTTATTCCTGTTTTACATGCAAGTTTATGAAAATTAACTTTTTAATGTCTAAAAGAATGAATCTTTATCATGATTTGTAATAGTAAAATTACTTCAACTATTAACATTAACAGTATTAACACTTACATGTTGATTAACAGTAATTAATTAAGCAATAAATTAACAACATTGTTATTTTGCTTCTTTTGTACATAATTTGATATCAAAAAGTATTTCATTCATTTACATGAATTTTCTTCCTGCCATTCCTTCTTTTAGTAACAACAAATCAGTCAGAATCATCTGAATCAATATCAGTGGTAAACTTTTTGGTAAAAAATGTGTGTATGTATTTTGGCATCAAGAGGAAGCAAATGTTGAATCTTAAGAACAGGTTTAAATCAGTATTCTGCAAGACGTAAGTAGGAAACTCCGGTGTTGTTGGTAGAAGGACATGACCCCACTTCCCACAGTATTTTCAAGTGCAATCCAAAGTTTTATTCTAATTTCATTTTTTTCTAAAGCCGCTTTTGGTATAACATGGTATAATGATATTTATTAATTTTATAGTATTCAGATGGTAAAATAATAACATGTTTTACTCAGAATTGTTTTGTTACCCTTCATTTGTTAAAAAGTTAAATGTGCATGGGAAATTAATATATATATATATGAAGATGCTTCTGAACTGACCAGTAAATGTAGGGATCCCCTGCATTCTCACTGTTTCTTTCGTAACAATGAGGACCATTAAACTCATTGCTTGCCATCACTACTGAGCTATGTATTGTGAGAATACATTGTTGAATTCAAGAATAGTTGCAACATAAATTGAAACTTTTCAATGTACCACATGCTCCCTTGCCAACTTCTCTAAGTCAATAAAAAAATTACCATTGACTTAAACTAAAATTCTGAAGAGATTCACACTTCTTTTGATGTCATTTTGATGTCCTTTTCCTTTCTCAACAGAAAATTAGTGAACACTCCATTCTTCATTTAGTGTTCTATCCAAGACTTCCCAGCCTTTATTCTGTGTATTGTGGTATACAATGTATCATGAAGTTGTGAAGACTACCCATTACTACTGGACTGCACTATGTGGATCTCATAGGCCGAGGCATATAACTAATGGAAAAAAAAAAGCAAAAACTGTCGTTAATTATGTTGATATGATTTTGAATTAATAGGCTTTTTTTCTGACTTTATTGCTTCTCTATGCATGTCATAATTTTAAATAATCATTTTGGATAATTTCTTATTAATAAAGAAAATAAATTAAGCAGATTTTTTAAATATTTGATCAGGATTGTGAAATTTAAGTGGAATTTCATAAAGCTATGAACATGAAAATACTTTGTAGAAATATTTGGTAGCAACTTACATTAAATATAATATATTGCAACTCTATGAAACATATCACATTACTACACTACTTACATTATTTTGCTAAATATTTCAAAATTGAAGATATCATGTATATGTGGCATACACAGCATCTGTATTTATTTTTCATTATCTTTGAAATTTGGAACCTTTACTTAGACTCCTAGTTATGTTGTTTTTTCCATCACTGTTTTGTTTGAGCTCTTTAAAAGCCCATTTGAAGATGGCCATTTTTGGAAGTACTAATTGATATATCGGTCATGTACAATTAATTCCCTGCATTGAATTTTGTTTTGTCATGAGCAATGGTGTAGTATTTGAAAATGCACTTACCTATGCAACATCCAGAATATGGTCGAGAAAAGCAAGATGTTATCTTTCGTTTTTTCTCCTTATTGTATAATGTTTAGTCATTTGATTTATAGTGTGTGTTACAGATTATATTTTCTTATTAAATATTACATCTTCAGACATTTTTTTTTAATTCTTCAGTTACTGTGTTATCACTGTGCTGATGAGAACATGACTATTTGTTCATTTTGAAAACCCAGGTTACTAAGGTGTTCTTCCTGAAAGCCTAATATAGAACAGTGCATTTTCTTCAGATGATTGTGTTTCATAGGTATTGGAATATCTTCTAATTTGGATGTAAGTTTCAATAGTGATAATTTTGTGAATGGAGTACTATGTTAATGATACCCTGATAAGATAAAAGTTCATAAAACATTTTATCCTCTTAAATTTAAAAAAATGATTAGCTGAGTAACCCAACCATTTAGTGACAACTGAAGGGCTTGCAGGCAATTTTTTTAATTTGAATACAAGAAAATGAAGATAATACTGATTCTGGGATTTGAATTTGAAAGGTAATTCCAAATTTAAGAATCAGAAAAAAATATGTTTAGTATAATTTCGTGATGAGGTTACATCATGCTGATGATCTTATAAAATAATTTTGGTATATATAATTTGTATTTTCATATAAAAAGTCTAAGAAATTAATTAATTAGAATGCAAATTTTTTTAGTGTAAGGATGAGTTTATAAAGCTACAGAAAATTCTGAGCATTATTGCTAAGACAGTAAATGGTGTAGAATGTCATTCAGATAATAGATTCAGTATTGATAAGCATATTTTTAGCCATGTATGTAATAAAATGGTCAATTTTACTCATAACGTAGATTATTGAAGGTTCTATAAAATAGACATTAAACCCCTATGTGCTGTGTTTCAAGCATATTAGCAAAAAACAGATTCCCTGAAATATTGGATAGCTAAAAAAAGATAGCTGAAACATTAGAGGTCTTAATGAATTACATCTTTGCGGTTCCAACAGCAATTTTCAATTTTGCTTATTTTAAAAAATAAATGCCTATTTTTGTCTAAATTTATGTTTTGTATTCCTTGTTAAAATTTAAAACATTTAAAAATAAATTAATACTTCATTTTAAATGTAAACAGTTTCATAAATGGTGAGGAGTGAAATATTTTATCACAACTATTATCATGAAAAACATATTTTATTATTTTCTTCCTGTTAAATTGCTCCTCACGCTCATGAACAGCAATGGAAATAAAGTGTGAAAAATATTTTTCTGCTAACGATATTGGCTGATTATTGTTTTGCTTTTTAGCATGGTGGCAAATAATATTATCTGTTCTCCCTATCTTTTCAGAACCAATGTCATAGAGGGGAGAAGTTTGAAATATCCATCATGACATATTTTGTAAAAATACACAAACAAAATTGTGCCAAGTGAATCCACTTTGTGTAGATATTGCATCAGTGTTATGATGCAATGATAAGAAAAGTTGAAATATAACTAATGTGAAGATTTGGGTAAGATCCCCAGGTCCACAGGATCCACAGGATGCAACAGGTAATTTTCTAGCAGACGTAACTCCTGTGAACTCTTCTTTAGAAAGCTAATCAATGAAGTATTTTAGTTCACTGTTGAATGTTTAGAAAAAATCAATTTTCTCAACTATTGAACAGTTATTTACAATATCCTTGGAGTAAATAAGGCTCCATTATA